GTATTCTAATAGAAAAAAAAATTGTAAGATATTCTTTCGTTCTATTACGATTTATGTACACGATTACACTTCGTTATATTACCGTTAATTCATGACAAGTGACATTTCGAATTTGAAAATTTCAAACGTGATATATACTAAATCTTGGTATGCCGTATAAATATTGTCTGGAATGCAAGATGAAGCTCGACCATGGTCGACATCATGCAATCAATAATTCGTTACTGAAGTTATATTTGGCTGCTCGATTGGAAGTACATATAGAAAAAGATGATCGTCTTTGTGTTCGATGTCGATCATCATTTGACAGTTGGAGGAAAAACTTTGACTATATTTTGAATGATTTCTCGACGATGGTTGGTTGTGTAAGTTTCATCTCTTTTTATGTATATTTTGTAATATTCATCTTCAGTCGGAAGTGGAAACCTATAGTGGCACTCAAAAAATATTTTCTAAAGAGACTCAAACGGACAATTCTTTTTCGACGATTGGCATTAATGTAAAACGAGTATCAAACTCACATAAGCAAGTGATTGTTTTTGGCTTAAATTTTCTCTATTCATGATCTAATTTTAGATTTTGCATTGTCTGTCAAATGAAGGATGCTGGGCCAATGAAAGTACTATCTGATGATCAAAGAAAAATGGTTTTCCTGAAACGAGGAATACTTATACCAAAGGGCACCCGTTGCTGTATTCATCACTTACTCAATGGTTTTTTGGACTATGAAAGTCTTTATACCATTGAAGGATTATTTTCCGAGTGGTTGGTATTGGACTCAGAAGGAATAACTAATCTAATTGATGATTTTCGTCTTATTACACAAAAGTTCAAGACATTCAGTTTTGATGATCCGAATTGCTTATCAGACGAAGCATATTATTATTTAACTGGATTGAAAAAAGGTACTTATACTAACTAAATAAACAAACAATAATCAAAATTCTATCGTCTGTTGATAGAGATTTAACTTCAGTCATAATTGATACCATCTGGCAGAAAACTAAATGAATAATAGGATGTAACATGATATGAGCTTATATGTGTTTTATATATAATCAGGAAAAGACTTGAAATAATATCACAGCTACAGAAAATATATATGAAAAAAACTTTTTTTTTTTACTTGCGTTTGTACCAGTTTGATCTGTAGTAGTCTTTAATTTGCATTTTAATTTCAAATCATCATGGATCTGACATTATGTGACTATTTTAATTTGGACTTTTAAGTGATGCATAGATACTTCTAAAAACTTTTATTATGATAAAGTCTCTCAAAATAAGTTCACAATTGAGTCGAAATCGTTTTAGATCTCAAAAAATTCATTTTCCTATATATGCAGTACAACATTCGATTCTTTTGTATGATTTGAACGTCATCATGACATAGAAGTTTCTAAAAACTTTGAAAAATTATCTATTGTGAAGAAACGATCAATAAAATGTTGTAAACTTCAATATCTATGAATTACAGTAACAAAGTCTTAAATTATATTAAAGCTAAAGTTCCACAAGTGAGTGACTGTGATACAGCAGTTCGTTGGTTTTTCTTGAAAGGTCTTTCTATCTGTTGATTTGTGAATACTTATCATTTGCACACGAGTTCCGAGATGTTAATTTTGTAATGGTCGAACATGAGTGCTATTTCCTTGTATTGTCGTCCAAAAAAGACAATTTCATCGGCAAGTTAAGAAACAAAAAGGACTCAATTTGAATAGAATTAAGCAAATAGACTAAGTCTTTGAAGCATTTTTTTATGCTACCGACATGCTACAATCCTCAATAAAAACGATATCTACTCTCACAAGAACATGTTGCTCCGCAACACTGAGACACTTTAATCTCTGCATAAATAATGAGTAAAAACTAGAAAATGAATAAATTGACACGATATATTGTATTTGTTTTATTCTTCCTTTGGAGTCTAGAAATGAAATCATGAAGGAAATAATTTAAATTGCACACAAGTGAAATAGACTAGAATATCGAACACAAAAATTTATATAAGTTCATGAAAATTTTTCTATTTTTTTCTATTTTTTCTAATAGTGGATTTTGAAGATCTCTTAGATTATGTTAAATTAATGCGAAATTCATCTGTACGTTCTGTAAGAGTGGCTCTGGCAATTTTTCTTTGCAAAATGCGGCTCGGTGTTGCCAATAGTGTACTAAGTGCAATATTTCAACTCAATGATAAAAGAATCGTTTCACAGATCATTCATTCTGTACAAAAAGCCTTAATTCAAAGCTTTGTACCACAGCATATTGGTTTTGGGCACATTGATCGTCAAACAGTGATCAATCAGCATTCATCTACAATCGCTACTACTTTACTAACTAATTCAAAAAATAATGTCGTTGTTGTAATAGATGGAACATATTTATATGTTCAGAAATCTAGTGACAACGAATTCCAACGACGCTCATATTCATTACATAAGTATCGTAATTTAGTCAAGGTAAATCAACTCAGCTAAAGATTTGTAAAAGAAATGGGGTAGTCCATTAGACACTAATATGTTTCTAAAAGATCTGACCTCAATGATGTTGTTGTTTCAGCTTTCTTCTCAACAGTTCTTAATCGTTCATGACAAATGATACTTGGTGTAGTTGACACAGGAATTTAATAGATTGCTAGTCAAGCTCTTTTAAAAGATTTGCTTTTTATTGTCTAGACTCTTGTTTCTGAATATTTTACAAGTTTATATTATTGTAGCCCATGATCATTACGTCTACCAGCGGTTATATTTTGAGTGTTCTTGGCCCTTTTCTGGCTGACTCAAAAAATAACGACGCGTCCATCATTAATCACTGTCTTTTTGAAAATCAGGAAGGTATTCTCGACTGGTTGGCCGACGACGATATCATTGTCCTAGATAGAGGATTCCGAGATTCAATCAAACCAATGAAAATGATTGGTTTGCAGCCAGTAGTGCCTGATTTTATCAAAAGAGGCAAAACACAACTAGATTCTTTTGAAGGAAATCGTTCTCGCTGCATTACAAAGATAAGATGGGTGGTTGAAAGCGGTAAGCATTTTGCACCTGCACTAACTTAAAACAGTTTATAGCTTTTTATTAGTTAATGCTAAAATAAAACAATGGCGATTTATGTCACAAACTATTCAAAATTCTTCCATCAAAATGTTACCTGACCTGGTGAAAATTGTTTGTGCTCTTAGTAAGTCGTTCTTGCACAAAGCATTGAATCACTTCTTCTTTCCTAGTCAACAAATATCGTTGTCCATCAATAAAAGATACATCCATAGGCGAGGAAATGGCTGAAGAAATGCTAAAACTTCTCAATTCAGAAAACCAATTACAAAAGTATCTAAAAGATCTCGAAGAAAAAAATTGTATAAATTGGAAGAAGTACGATGCTCAACATTGTCCATTTCCTATTCTTACAGAAGATGAGTTACGCAATATCACCTTTGGTAAGACGTATAATATTGTATCATGATATTCAAATTATTCTTGTTGAAGGAGTATTTCAAGTCAAAATGTCAAAAAGCTACATACGAGAACATTTAAAACCATCGATATTAGACGAAGAAGATATGATATTTGAAGTCCAAGCTGATATTCATTATCCAGATCTTATTCGTGTCCAGTTTCAATCAAGACATTCTAAAATGAAGAAATACAATGCAACTGTTCGTTTCAATAGTGAAAAACAAACCGTGGAAGAATGGTATTGCACATGTCCAACAGGACCAAGAAAGATTGGTTGTTGCACACATGTATGTGCTTTACTATGGCATCTTGGCGTAAATCGCGCGCAGATTCCTCAAACACATCCTCTTTCAGCAGCTCATCTGCTCCAATTTGTAGAGGATAGCAATGCATATTCAAGATTTGAAGAATCAGATGAAGACGACGAAGACATTTTGTATTCTCTTGACAATGATATTGATATGGAATCTGATAGCTCATGATATACTCTTTACACAGAATATTTTGCATCTATCTTCATTTTCTTCTTTTCTAGTACATATTTCAGGAGCTTCTTTATTAGAATAG